ATAAAGACACTAAATAAATAATACAAAATAGCACAAAATAAAGAACAAAACAGAAAGTTATAAATAAATAACAACAATAAGGAAATAAAAAATAATAAATAAATAACTATTAAATTCACGCCTTTTTCATTGCCATCAAGGCCGTCATGTGAAACCCTTTAGAACTCTACTTATTTCGGGTTCTTACGGTAGTCTTCTTCGCCTCCTCTAGGGCAGTTCGGAAGACAGCGCAGGCACCACTTCCACCGACATGATCGATTTTAACCCTCCCGTCGAACTTCGACTTGCATAAGAAGTAACTAGGGTTATTCTTACATTCAGAGAACATATGACCGGCTTCACCGCATCTGAAGCACGCATCCGATATGTCCTCTGCTTTACAGTTTCCTCCCATGTGGCCTTAATTAAGGCATCGATGACACCGCACAACCATCACTCTCCTTTTTATTTGGCAGTACATTAAACCTACTCTAATGCGACTCAATTTCTCTAGCCTATCTGCCTCCTCTGGGTCGGTGACTACAACCGCGAGCTTCATACCTCGGCGGTTGGATCCAAGAACCGTCACCTTCCTACTTCCAGGCTTTCCGAGATCTCTGTCCAGCGCCTGCCGGGCCTCCTTATTTGAGTCACCTCCTATCTTTATCAGAAGGTCACCCTTCTTCGTAGCCCTTGTCGCTACGACCTTCGTGTGGCTGACGTCAGGGTCAACCTCCTTACGAAGCTTACCCAAGACGTAAGTATACGTCGATCCCTGTGCGACTCGGACCAGCATAGTCGATGGTATTCTCGACATCCTTTTAATTCGAAGACCCTTTAGCTTCGGTACCTCCGACGCTATTAGTTGCATTTCGAATGGGGGTGCTTCCTCCTTCGGCCGTTTGGGTGTCAGGGTTCTAGTCTCCTCTCGACTGTCCCCATCTCTTCTTCTTTTTTGCGCATCCATTACATTACCTATCCGTTACGTCTTACAACATAACTTTTTCTGACCAAATCACATAACCTCAAAATTTAGACTTGACACTATATTCAGAGTCGTGAAACGAACATAACCTCTGATTTCAGGTCATTTTTGGCAGGTGTGGTGGGAGAGAAAGGGGACAATCATAACCCCTAAATTTAGGTCATTTTTGGTAGGGTAGAGGGAGGAAAAGGGAAGAGGAAAGGGGACTTACGGCTATATTCAGAGTCTTGAAACGATCTTAACCTTTAAATTTTGGATGGGGGAGGGGAAGAGAGGAGGGGGGATAGGGGTTGGCGCGCGAAGCGCGCAGGGGGCGTAGCCCCCTAGTATATATATATATATATGAGGCCTTTTACGTATAATGTCCGAATTTAAAAAATTGATTTCTCAAAAAAAGTGAAACTTGGCGAAAATTTTGTCCTACCTGATAGTAAAATATCCCTAAAAAATTTTTTGACTTTTTTGAAATTTTGGGGGCGATAGAGAGGGGTCAATTTTATTAGTTTCCCTGACACCGCCTACTATTTGAATTATTTCTGTCTATAAATTCAATAAAAAAAATTTGGCATGTATGTTTTTTGAAGGTTGTTTCATGCTCTTTCCATTAGTGAATTTCGTTTTTAAAAATTTTTGAATTTTGACCTTGATTTTCTATAATTAAACATAAATTTTCTATTTTCACTAAAATCGATGCGTTTTTTTTAAATAAATAATTGCAAACGAAAGGTGAGATTTTTTCCGATCTGTATATAAATTTTTAGAATGCCGATTTTTTTTGTTTTTGAGATATTAAATGTCAAAGATTTTATGTTGGCGCGCGCGGAAAGGCGGTCGACTCAATTGTGTATTAACAACCCACTAACTCAAAATACTTGAAATAGGGCTTGTTGCATGTGGAATTCTGTCAACTTTTATTTAGTAACTTTAGAATTACGATAGCTTTATTCATTTGTAAAATATATCATTAATGAGACTAGTGAAGCAAGGCATGTAACCCCCCCCTAGCGGCCAAACGAATTTATCTAGAGGGCTGAAATTTGGTATACATTGTATTTTGGCGTGGAGATTACAGGAAAAATATAGCGAATCTCATAGGCATTAATTATCATAGCGTTGTCAAGGAAAAACCATGAATTTTTAAGAAAAATCCCTAAAAAGACTATGTACCCCCCCCTGGTTGAAACATTTTTTTACATAGAGAGCTTAAATTTGGTACACTTATGTATTTTTACGTGAAAATTACAGGAAAAATATAGCGAACATGATTCGGATTAATTTACATAGCGTTGTCAAGGAAAAATCAAAAATTTTGAAAAAAAAGCGATTAATCCTCCTAGCGCACACAATATTTGACGAAGGCAGTTCATATTTAGTATACTTACGTATTTTTGCGTGCAGATTACAGGAAAAATATAGCAAGCACAATTGGAGTTGATGTTCATATTGTTTTTAAGGAAAATCCATATTTTTAGAAATAATCATGGATTTTTCGAATAAAAAAAGAAGAAAATTTTATCCTAAAGGATCCATATTTATACTTTTTTACGTATTTTAATGTGTAGATTACAAAGAAAATATAGCGCGAACGATTGGAGTTAATTATCATAGTGTTTTCAAGGAAAAACTGATAATTTTCGATAAAAATCATGATTTTTCCCCAAAAAACGAAGAATATTTTATCTAAAGAGTTTCAAATTTATACACTTTTACGTATTTTTGCGTGTAGATTACAAAAAAAATATAGCGAGAACTCCAATTGTGCTTGCTATATTTTTTTGTAGTGTTTTGCCATTCTTTATAATTTGGCATTTTCTTTTTTTTACCATTTGCTATTTTTTTTATCTTTTGACATTTTTTATTTGTTGATATTTTTATTATTTGGTGAAATCTAAAAAAAATCTCAATTGTTTATTAACAACCCACTAACTCAAAGTACTTCAAATAGGGCTCGTTAAATGCGGAATTATGTCAAATTTTATTTAGTAACGTCAGAATTACGATAGCTTTATTCGTTTGTAAAATATATCATTTTTTATTAACCTTAATAGTTAATTAATTAACTAAAAATTGTAAATATTATGTAAGTAAACAATATTATATATTTTATAAACGAATAAAGGCATCGTAATTCTGACGTTACTAAATAAACGTTGACATAATTCCGCATCCAACGAGCCCTCTATGAAGTACTTTGGGTTAGTGGATTGTTAACAAGCAATTAGCTAACGTGGCAATTGTTTATAAAAAAAACCTCTAATCCAAAATAGTCCATATAGGGCTTGTTGGATGCGGAATAACGTCAGCTTTCAATTTGTACCTTCAGGATTGCAATAACTTTATTTATTTGCGAAATATTTCATTTTTTATTAACATTAATTAATTAATTAATATTTCAAAAATAACAAAGAAGGACATCTGAATATTTTTTGTTGTGAAAATATACATTTTTAGTTTAAAAAAAATAAATAAATAAAAAAAATAAAAAGTACCGAACTTAAAAAAAAATTCGAAAAAATGTTAGTTTTCAAAAAAAGGGTTAAAATTGGAATTTTTTGAAAAAGTGTTTGCATTATTTGAAAGAGCAGGAAAAAACATTTCAAAAACATATAGGTCAAATTTTTTTTCACTTTTCTGTTTAAAAGTTACAAGTCTTCTAAAGTTTAAATTTTACAAAAAAATTCAACCCCCTTCCTCTCCGACAGTTTTTAAAAAAACCTAACAATACTTTGTAGTTAAAGTACTCACCCCTAGGGCTAAACTATGTGCAAGTTACAGCCCGATTCGATCTTTTTTTTTTCACTAAGTTCGTTACAAGAATTTTACCCCATATATATAGGACTGGACTCGTGGTACAGAAGAGACGTATGCGCATATCTTTTCTGTCTCCGTTACAAGAATCACCTGGTCATGGCTGGATATACACAGCGAAAAGCTAGTATAGGCCAACGTCAAATCAAATACTACTACTACTACTACTCTATTACTTACACCATACTACTACTCCGTTACAAGAAATCCATGCGAAAAGCGCATCGATTTGAAGTGTATTGATTGGTGGGGAGTATTTACGACATGGATTTGAAGCAAATATTTTACATGCTAGAAACTTTTTTTGCATAGAAATCTATGACACTATTAACACATGAATTTTGTCTAAAAATGGTCGTCACAGCTGACGTGATTAATGAGTGATACAACTCGTGTAAATATAGTATGATTTTTCTCTCCGTGAAGTTGGGTCGACTTTGGTATTATTTTTTGTCTGGTTAGAATTGTGCATTCTCGCCGGTTGCCAGGGCTAGCGCAGTACTGCGCCAGTTGTTTTTTCCCCTTAGGCTGGGGCGATTGAAGAAGAATCCCTCGAAACTATTTTGCACAATTTGTATTTCACTTTTGTATTAGTAGCAGATACTTAGATATACATTCTTTTACGTTTGACAAAACATTTCAATAGATAAATTGTGTAATAAATTTTTACAATCTTATCTTAATTATATTTAAGTAGTCTTTTAACTGAAAAAAATAGGTCTACAAAATAAGATTTTTTTAGATGTCGGAGCGGTTTCCAATGTATTTTTGTGTGCTAAACACGAGTAAAGAAGAGGGTTTCCTTTTTTTTCTCCTTAACTCAACGTGCTAGACACTTCTATATCGCATAATTTAAAAATTTTGAAAAAATTGGGGGTAAAGACTTGAATAAACTTTTTGTGTGACTCAAATCTAATTTTTTTTCAAACTTTTAAATTTTTTTACCTTGCGCATATTAGTCCTAAAGTGTAAGATTTAAGCTTTAATTTAAGCCTATATAGATGTCTCTATCACGTCAGGTCAAGGAGAAAAAAATACTAAAAAACCCTCAAAAACACGGTTTTTGGAGACTTTACCCCCACTTTACTCAAAATCCTGACGTGATACGCAATTTTGGAACCCGGGATCGTGTTCAGAACACCAAAATACATTGGAAACCACTCTAATATCTCAAAAAAAATTCTTGTAGACCTGTAACATTTATAGAATAATAATTAATAGTCCATACCAATTACTCTGGCATAAGCAGCAAATGCGATGAGAAGAAATATAAATAGTAGCTCTAAAATACACGAAAGTTTCATCCTGATGAATTAGGTACTGAAAAAAAAACATTTCTTATGTTATTTGCTAATAAAATAATTTAAATTTACATAAAAGGAGTTAATACAGTTAATATCTAATCGAAATCGTAAAAGAAAATTTCAAAAACATTTGATTTTACATTATCTATACTGTTTAAGGTGAAAAACTCGTGTAAAATGCAATGTTTTTACATATTTTTGTTTAAAATTCATGTCCACATTTTTCCCTAGCATATGCAAAGCGTGACAGTTGGATTAAAAAAAGTCAAAAAATTAAAATTTCATTCTACAATAAAACTTAAAGATAGGAAAAAATAACGACAAAAAATTTGATTACACATCTTTTTAAAGGAATTACATTGTTCACATTTAGTTTCATTACTTAGTTATCTTAGAAACTAGCTAGAAGAACGCGCGTGAAAATTAATATTTTTATGCAAAATTTATTTTTATTCGACGTAATATTATTGGAATTTTGATCTCACAAAATTAATAATGTTATTTTTGAAATCCTTATTGTATTACTACTTCAACATTATGGTGTTATAATATAATTTAGTTAATTTGAGCAGCCAGATATTATAAGGACACATAACTACAGCGTTAGCAGTTGGCCCCTGACATCTTAGAAATCAATTTTAAAAAAAAAAATTTTTTCAAATTACTATCTTGCAGGAAATTTCCTGGCGCATCTTTTTTTTCTTCTTATATATTTTTTTGTATTTGTAACCGTTTGTAAGAAAAAAATTAAATTTTTCTTGTAATCACTTTTAATTAGAATTTTCACTTTAATTCGTTATAAAATGAAAAGTTCTAAATATTTTTGCATACAATTTACAGGATTTCATAGTTTAAACTATCCTTTGAATGATTCTAAAATAGTAATTCTTCATGTTTTAATTTTTTAAAAAAATTATTAATTTATTAGATGCTCGGTGTTACAATAGGGCTTATATTTTTCAAACGCTTTGTTTATATAGGGAATTTTTTCTGAGGAAAAACTTCCTCTGAATAAAATGTTTATTGATTCACAATAAAGATTACTCTATAAAGTTTTATTTTAATAAACATTTTTTTATTATCAATATACATTTTATTCATAGGAAGTTTGTTCTCAGAGAAAATTCTTTAGATAAACCGAAGAGTTTGAAAAATATAAATCCCTATTATAATTATTATTAAGGAACATTTTGTCGTATGTTCAGGTTTAAAGTAAGACTCACTTTGGTATAATAATCACTTTATGTTTATTATAACTGACGTATAAACCACTCTTACAAACTCTATAGTTATAACTCTTAATTTAAATAAAAGAACTCTTAATAATCGGCTAATTTCCGACACACATGTAGGAACGCGTCCACCAGGTAACAACAACGAGTCAGTCAGAAGTGCTCTACGAGTGAGCCGCGTGAACATAGATCGATATCGACAACGGTCGATAGTTTCAATAGAAGATGGCGTTCGCGCCATATATCGACAAAGTTTAAACTAGAGATTCCAACACTCCCTCCCTTTGTCGATTTATAAAGATTCGTTTAAATAAAAAATTATAATTAATTAAACAAAACGGTAATCTTAATGTTAATTATTAGTCATCTTAAATCAGTCTTCTAGCCTCTTATGTTCGCCTTTGCTCTAATGTCCACGTTTATCTGTAAGCACACGAAAACAAGATTATTTTACAGTTTTAAATAATGTTCAATATTATTTATGTCAAGTCATGTATCTCTTAAAAATTTTATTTATTTACTCTAACATTTTGTCTCTTAGATATTTGTGGGCTTCTAGGGGTAGGGGTTTCGTCATTATGTCAGCTACATTCTCTTTAGTGGCGATCCATTTAACATTGATTTTTCCTTCGTTAACACATTGTTTGATGAAATCTCCATGCGTGTCTGCCATGTGTTTTCTGTTTCCACTTTCTTCTCTCAGTTTAAGATTCTCTTTAATTACCTCTAAACTCTCGTCGAACATTTTCAATTTGTGATTTCCATCCTTCTTTATGCAGTCTCCTGCCGATCTGTTGTCGCACCAAATCGTCACCGGAAACAAAGTTGTGCCAGTAACATATCTGAGGGATTTGTCCAAAGATATTAGTTCCTGACATGTGTCACTCATAGCGAGATACTCTGCTTGGCACGTCGATAGTGTGACATAGGTCTGCTTGTGACTCCTCCAAGCAATGACGTCTCCAATCAATTTTATCACGTATCCTCCAGTGGTTGTTAAGTCTTGACAATCTCTAAAACTTGTATCTGTCAGTCCCTCTAAGTCTTCAGTTTGTCCTTTGAATTTTAAGCCCATCTTGGTAGTACCTCTTAAATATCGGAAAACTCTTTTGACATCAATCCAGTCATCTTCAGTTGGTTCTAGTTGTTTTCTTGCTAGATAATTCACTGCGAAGGTTATGTCAGGTCTGTTTGCATTCGACAAGTACATTAAACTTACAATGGCTTCTTTATATGGTACCTTTTTGACCTCTTCTTTTGTATTTTCGCTCTTTGTCTCTAATTCTTCTGATTTTATTCTCTTACATCTATTGCTGACTTGTTTGGTTAACATCGGTGTACTTTGTGGTTTACAATCTTTCATGTTGAATTTATTTAGAATACTTTCCACATAGTTTGCTTGATGTATCAGCATACTCTTGAAAGAGACTTAGAAGTCTCTTTCAATTGTGATTCCAAGGAAATTTCTTGGTTCACCAAGATCTTTCAATTCGAAAGCATTGCCAAGATGATTTTTAATTCCCTCTAGTTTTTCTTTGTCTGTTGCTGGCCAGGAGCATGTCATCTACATAAATCAATACCATCATTATTTTACCATCTTTTCTCCAAGTGAAAAGACATGGCTCGTGTAAATCGTTCTCTAATCCTAATTTGGCCATTTCTTCCGAAAATCTCTTGTTCCACTTTTTCGGACTTATTCTCAATCCATACAGTGCCCTCTTTAGTTTGCATACTTTTGTTGCTCTTGTTTTCTCGTCTATTTTTACTCCATCTGGTATCTCCATATAGATTTCTTCCTCTAATACACCGTTTAGGAATGCAATCTTTACATCTAGTTGACGTGCAAACAATTCATATTTGTTGATTATCGCTAATGGCGCTCTAACAATTGGCAATCTAGAGACAGGAGCGAATGTATCTTTCAGATCATATACATTTTTATCCTTGAAACCTCTAATTACCAATCTCGCTTTGAATCGAGTTGATTCATCAGCCTCTAACTTTTTCTTGAAGATCCATTTCGAGTCAATTATCTTTGCTCTTTTTCCATCTTGCATTGTTTTTGGTCGATCAACGAATTCCCATCCTTCGTTTGGTTTAATAATCACTTTATGTTTATTATAACTGACGTATAAATCACTCTTACAAACTCTATAGTTATAACTCTTAATTTAAATAAAAGAACTCTTGATAATCGGCTAATTTCCGATACACATGTAGGAACGCGTCCACCAGGTAACAACAACGAGTCAGTCAGAAGTGCTCTACGAGTGAGCCGCGTGAACATAGATCGATATTTCCTACAAAATAGTAATTTGAAAAAATTTATTTTTAAGGTGCCAGGGGCCAACGAATAACATTGTAGAAATTTTATGTGTCGTTATAATATCCGGCGGCTCATTTGCAAATATATAAATATATGTTTATATATTATGTTATTTGTTAATAAATATTTATCACAGTTATTGCCGAGATTTATCATTGGTGAATAGAAGTACCTTTCTTGGATCGATATATGTTGTATATTTAAGTAAAATTTATATAACCTATTATTGCACAGTCAAAATAACCTTTACATTTTGTACTCAAATAAATATTATATGCCATGATCATCAAATTGTCAGCAATACATTTAATTAACCCATCTTTCTTATAAAAAATGATTTTTTACCATCATGTCTTCGCCTAAGTTCCGGATAATTCTTAGAACCTTAAATAAGTTGTTTCAGAACAAATAGGTGTTGGATATTTTTTTATACAAAGTTACTTCTCAGGATCCATGCAAGGTGAATTCCTATTTTGTTTACCGCAAGGCCCATGAACTTGAAATTGCTTTACAATGTTAAAAAATTATAGATTCTTAGTTTCGTCTGGCACATATTATTTTATTTAAAGTTTTTTCTATACGTAAAAATATAATTTAACGCACATGTGTCAATCCACGCTTTTTCTTTTATGTGATGCATTTCACGTCAAAAGTCAAGGTAAAGTAAAATTTTTGTCCAATCTATCCCCAATTTTTTTTATTAGTTGTCCTATATGTTGGTAATTTAGCAGCCAAGTATTTTGAATTTTATGAAAAATAAACAAGGAGGAGGAGGTAAAAGTTTTGAGTTTTTTGATGACAAGCTATACTTTGTTTATTTATTATACTTCAACGAAAAATATAAAAAATAATTTCTGGACATGATTCCTTTAGATTTTTTCATAATCTTCATAATCTTCTTATATTTTTCAAACGCTTTGTTTATATAGGGAATTTTCTCTGAGGAACAACTTCCTCTGAATAAAATGTTTATTAATTCACAATAAAGATTGCTGTATAAAGTTTTATTTTAATAAACATTTTTTTATTATCAATATACATTTTATTCATAGGAAGTTTGTTCTCAGAGAAAATTCTTTAGATAAACCTTTTGATAAAACCTTTGATTTTAGATAAACCTTTTTTTCTTTTGAAAAAAAATTTTTGACAATTTTTGACAATTAAAACTAAATTTTAATTTTTTTTGTCTTCGGGTTCGTTTTTTCTATTTTTCTTTTATTGGAAAGCTAAGATTTTTTCCCACAAAATACTTAATTTTCAAAAAACCGTTTTTTTGCTTCCGAGAAATTAAATATTAAAAGTCGCGCGCCAAGTCAACGCGATGTAACGAGCGACTATTATCTCGCTCGAATATCGATTCGATATTAATCGATATGCGATTAAATGTCGCGGTAAAATACTAGAATTTAAATTAAAGTTAAAATAAACTAAAAATAACTATAAATTTATTTTTTATTT